CTATATTATATCAGTGCATGCTTTCCTCGCAAGTCCTGCGCACTTGCCCCATGCAGAACTCCAAAGCTGGAGCCCGAAAATGGAGTCCTAAGCTTGATAGGGTTTAGGGTTTAGGGTTTAGGGTTTAGGGTTTAGGGTTTAGGGTTTAGGGTTTAGGGTTTAGGGTTTAGGGTTTAGGGAAATAAAATAGCGTTTTGGGGCCCTATAACTATAATAATGAGCCCCCAAATAATATAGGTAATTATTAAGGCCCCTATATTGGGCACAGACCCCTAACATTAGGTGTAAAGTTTTTGATGCAGGGTCTAGTCTAGCGTTTACGGTACAGGGTTATAATTATAAAGCCAGACAGATAATAACGGTATGAGTGGCATGTTGATTCCTGACTTGGGCAAAGAGGGCTTGAGCCGCGGTGGGCGTTTGGAGTTGGGGATATCCAGGGCTTCACATGTGAAGTTTCAGGTTTTCAGCGTCTGGCACACATGTTGCGAAGGATAGAGCCTAGAGTCTAGCGTTCAATGCTCCCCTACTTGGAGGTTGATGGGTAGTTATAAGTGGGCTATAAGTCCCCTACTATGGGCTATAATTATAGTTACCCTACTTATAGCCCCACTTCTAACTACCCATGAACCTCCAAGTAGACCCGACATCCTAAACCCCAAACCCGAAGCATTGGGGGCAAAGGCCCTAAACCCTAAACCGCAAAAGACTAAACCCAAAGGGCAGGCGTGAACCCTGAACCCTAAACGCCTAGACCCAAGGCAGCCGTGGAATCTAAACCTGAAGCCGTAAGCCTTAAATAGACTAGTTAACTATAGCAATTACTTAATTAAAATAATTACGTACTTATAACACCAATTAAGGTACTTATAATCTTTTATAACCTTACCTACTAAGTCCCATGTAAGCCTCCATGAAAGCCCCAAGCCTTCAGTCTGAAGATCTCAAGAGTCGAGGCCTCAACGCTTGCTTCAGCCTTGTGGAACCGTTTATGGCAACCTTTGTGGAACCTTTTATGGGAACTGTTG